GATTTAAAGTTTGTAAATATGAACAATAACAAGCCTTGTAGCTCTCTGGGTATCAGGAGTTGGAGTGAAATAATCCAAGTTAACAGCAAATTCCCTGTGATATATTAGGTCAAGGATCATACTTATTTTCTACTTAAGTGTTTGCACATATAAGGTTAGATATGGTGAAGGTGGCACCAGGAATGGCTTTGCTGCTTTAATGACACCAAAATGAATGGTGGTTAAAATGTGCTGGGAATCCTGTAGCTTCAAATGGGAGCTAAGGGCTATAATGACAGTTCAGAAGACAGTCTAGAAATAATTTTTAGCTCTTTCTCTAAGAAGATGGATGCCTTGACATAGCAAAATATTTTCTTTAAAGGATGGCCAGGTTGTTGTTGCATTTGGAGTTTGCACAATCTAAGTAGAGGTGTGTGAAAATTAGAGGTGATATCCCTTTGTGGTCAGAGGAAGGGGCAAGAAAATAGCTGGGGTGCTCCTGTGCCTGCATTACAGTTGTTTGCCTTTGTCCATCCACGGTAGGAGAAAATTTAACTAATCTATATCAAAACTTTTTCAATATTTAAGTTATCCAGCAAAGTGTATTCAGCATGGTGACTATTGCAAAGCTTTGTGAGGGACTTGTGTGTTCTGTCCTTAACCTCCTGTTAAGAGACAGAAGTGGAGGGAATGACTAATGTATTGCCTGTAAATAGTGTAAAATAATGAGTGGGAGGAGCAGGGAGTTGCAGAGAATTGGCTGAAGTCTCCAGGGTTTTATCTTTCCCTTCCCCCTTGCACCTGGGTGGATCAATAGAAAGGGAGAGCAGTTGTGTAATGGCTTTTTTGCCCGTCGCTGTGTGCTGTTAGTTTGACACATGCAATTTACTTGGAAAAGCTTAAGTAGCCTTAATAACAGAAAGTCCCAGCAGAGCTGACACTAATGGTCTCCCCCCGTTGTCAGTCTCAACAGAGAGATTAAGAACTGAATGAACAAAGAGACCCAATTACTATCTCCCCCCTCTGGATGTTGCTGCATGAAAGCAGGTATGAGCTATGGCAGTGGCTCTTTGCACAGACTCTGCCATGCCCTGGTGTCACAGGGGCTTTTACTGGGCTCTCAGCTTACTGCCATTACTGAGGGCTGCTGCAACATCACCCAGTCCAGCTTTTTTTGCACTAATAGTGAAGTCCAGCCATGCTCTGTTAATGCACATTATCGAACACTCTTCAGACACTCACCATCCAATACATTGTGCTAAACCCAGCCCAGCTAAGTCTAACATTTTTTCTACTGAGTTTTGTGCAGGAAAGTCATCTTTTCTTGGCCCAAGCTCTCAGGGAGGTAGCAGAGCGCAGCTCTGCAGGGTGTGCAGCCACAGACAGACATGTCCCCACTGGACTGGACTTGCAGAAAGGTCTCAAAGAAAACAGAACATCTGTTTCTGCTTTCATCCAGAGCTTGGAGCGACTTGGTTAATAACAAAATATAAGCACCATCTATGAATGGCTGCACACTACCCTTTATGAGTGCTGCTCCTCAAATATATTATAAAGCCCAGTGCCAGCTCTCTTTTGCCTCTCTTCACTAGGACAGGTTTGTACAATCGATCAAATATTCAGTTAAAAAAATTGCTGCTGTGTGTGCTATAATTTTGTGGCTGTTTTTTGGCTAATGTGTGGAAGGCTTTAATTGCAACTAATTTCTCAGTAAGACTGGCCTTTTTTCAGGAATTTTTCTCTTCTTCTGTTTCTCTAGCTTGGCAGACCAAAGATTTCTCACCATTAGGAAATAAAACAAATGTGTTTCAAGAGGACTCTAGATGGGCTTTACCAACATAGGGTTTGATCAATGATGATGATGGATTGATTTAAAAAAATATATACCCCACCTTATTCAGTCTCAATATTGAGGAAAAACATCATCTTTCAGTGAACAGCTGATATTTGAAGATACTGTTCTGTTGACAAACTGTTAAACCAAATCTCTCTCCCCTGGATTTAGAAGATTAAGGCCTAAATAATACTTACAGCATCAGTATCAACATTGTCTAGCCTGTCAGTCTTTGCTTTATAGCTCATTGTATTTTCCAACATGACTTAAAATACTTTGCCAGGTACACCAGGTGAATGGTGGAGCTCAGCATAATTATGTTTCAAAGGCAGTGAAATAGATGCTTTGCATTTTATTAATTGAACGTAAGTATATGAACATTTGACTGATGGATATGAACATATTTCATTGATGGTTCTAGAGGGGAACAATTGCTCTTGTCAGTATAATAACTAATATTTATGCTGCTAAAATACACTTAATATGCATGAAAAATAATGGGTTTGGCTAAACCAGGTTTGTACAGCTTTGTGTGTTTTTCTGTGTGCATGCGGCATAAAAAGGAACACTGCACATCAAATGAATGCAATATTTAATCTGAAGTGAAATGCTTAACACTCATAGCAGCAGTTCAAAGATGAGGATAGCTTTATTAGTGTTTTAGAGTCACGCTTTCTTAAACTTGAATTCTCGTCTTACTGTGATAATTAAAATTTTGTTGTTGATCTCCAGCAATTAAATTGGCTTCCTTATATATCACAGTTACAGTGTTGGTTTTTTAAGTGATTTGTGCATACATCAAAAATTGCAGGGAGGGTGAAAAAAGTGTTAATAATCTTCATTAACAAAGACTTGCATGAATGATGAAAATAGAGGAGTATATAAATTTTCTATTCCCACCAAAACAAAATTTGAAATACCTCCTCCATAATGGACTGGCGTGCGTTTTGGGAAATGCCTGTGTATTTCTAAAATCATGTGCACTAAGCAAATCCAAAAGTTTATAAAGAAGTAGTAATTTATTATAAATATTTACTCTACAGCCCCAGTGAGGTTTTTGACAGCATGGGCTTGTCCCTGGGAGATTCCCTTTTTTCTCCCTCCAGTACTCTCTCAGTGCAGGAACTCAGCAATTGTTTTGAAGAGAGTACAGGTGAAAGAAGCTTTTTCATTGCTTCTACTCTCTTCTCCTTTCTTAGAAGCCTTTCATTCTTCAGCAAAGGCAGAAGTTCTTTGCCTGCCCTCCTTTGCTAACCGTTCCACTTGCCCTGATGATCATGATGATCATGTACAATCTCAGACCATTTCATTGCTTTCTCATCTCTTCTCTTAGTATCCACCCTCACATCTCATTCTTCTGGTTTTGCAAGCAGCATCTGAACCTCTTCCATCATGAAAAAAGACCAGACTATCACCAGTTACATTTGCTCTTCTAGACACCTTCTGCAATTCTCTTCTCCCCCTTATTGCTCAATGTGCTCTCGGTAGTTGGTGGTGGTACAGAGACTTTTCCAGTGCAGCTTTGTGCATTTCATTCTGGGCAGTGCCTTTCCTGACCTCTTCCTCCTCAGAGGTTACAATGTGCACTTCCTCCTCAACCTCACATCAGCTGTCATCTCTCTAAAGTCCCTGATGTTCTTGAAATCCTGCCCATGCTTTTGTTCTCTGATCTCATACAAGATGTTGGGTAGCATGCCTGGGCTCTTAAACTGCTCACAGCATTGCTGCTGGATCCCTCCTCCTCTGTCTGCCACTCTGTCCAATTGCTACTGCTTGATTTTCCTCACAAATAAAGAACAGGGATCTATTTCACCTTTTGGACCCTTTTCTTTGAACTGAGTTTCAGATTGTGAGTAGTCTTTAACAAGTAATGTGTAAATTAGCAGCATGTTACATTAATTTCATACTGTAGATACTATTTGCCACAGAGACTATTTGTGTTGATGTGGAGTTACTTCTGTTAGCACTTTTCAAAGAGTGTAGATAAGAGATAAGATACCTAGGTGAAATCACACTAGCTGTGTTCCCAATGAACCTGCTGAGATGAATGGAATGACACAGCTAATCAAATTATCTTGAATTAGACTCAATTATGTTTGTGCATGAATGTTTCTGGTTTTTTTTTTTTTTTTTTTTTTTAAGAACTTTCTATTTTTCCAGTTTGTACATGAAATTATAAGAGCACATAACCTATGGAACTTGTACCACCTCTGAAACATTTTAGGAACCTACTTTCAGAGTACACTATTTATTCCTCAACAGAAGTAGCATATAAGTTCAAAGTAGCATATAAGTTCATCCAAGCTGTAAGAAGGGACGAGCTCTGGAGATGTCTGTCCAAGTTCCATTTCTGATTTTCACTTTAGGCTATGTCTTTTTGCACATCATCTTGAATGTGACTGTTGATAGTCTGCCTGTCGTTTAAATACAGTTTATTTATTTGGTTCTTTATATTTCAATTGGTATTTCCAATTAAAATCAAACAGCAAGGTGTATTCACAAGACAGTGATATTGTCATTGACAACACAGTCAGAAAAACAGTACCAAAAGGTCAAGTCACAGACATAACTACTTCTTAGTTTTCCAATGCCTTTATGTTTTTGTACTTAAACACATCTGCTGATCTGAATGTATTAGGAAAAAGGATAGCAAAAGCAGCTAAATTATATGGTAATTTTAATTAGTAGGAAAGAGGGATGGTAAGGTCTTCCAACAGCATTTTCTAATTGAAGTCACTGAACTGGCATTTCAGCAATGATTTCTGCTTCAGAGATCAAGAGAGATTATTTATCCTTAGCAGTTTTCAGCTCTCAAAAGTTCATGCAGGCCAAGTGACTTCCATCATTCATGAACACTCTTGTGAACTTGTTCCTTTCCTGATTTTATTGATTTGTCACGTGATTTCTGGGAAGAAATTAAAGACTCTGTTATATTTTCCTCATCCTTACAAAGCAGTGAGAGCTGCACAATTTTATTTTCAGAGGTCAGTTAGTGGGAACCAAACTGGAGGGCTGTGGTTGGAACTTGTTTATAATGGGAAGTGGGTGTATAAACCTCAGGAGGAAACGCCTGGGTTTGCCCAGGTGTATGCAGGCAGCTGAGTGCTGCAGAAAACATTGGTATTAAATGTCTGTGTTTCTCAGTCTGCTGTGATGCTCCATTTATGATGTGTTTCTCCTCACCCAGGAACCGTGCACAGACTTGCTGTTGTTGTCAACACTGGAAAGACTGAAGCTGGCATCCCCACTGTCCTTCTCCAGAGGTTGCCTTGCAAGACACAGCTATAAAATGTTCATCAGAAAAAACTGAACCGTAGATCCTTAAGAGTGAGTAAAAAACAAATGCGGTGTTTCAGAATTTTTGTCTAAAATGTGCAAAAATAATGCCATGGATTTTGCATTTTAGAAATGCATTCCAGTTCCTGGGTAACTAGGGATTGTGAAGAGCTTGGACTGAACCTGTGGCATGGGATATGATATTTATGTTACACTGCTGTGTTCATTCAGGGGGTGTAGTTCCTTGCCTCCTTTGCTGTCCTTGTGCACCTCTGTTGAGCTACGTTTTTGAGGACCAGTGGCTTGAGGAGTGTCAAACATGCCATTGGAATGGGATTTTCCTGAGCAGGAGGCTAGCTTAGCTAGCTTGACTTCTTCAAGATAAAGTCACAGACTGTCCCCCTAGGAAGTCCCATCCTCTGCACAACAAGGGGCTTTCCATGCACTAAAGTGTTCCATTGTTTCTGGAAAACAAGGCACTCTCAGTGCTGGAGGACTAGCTGATCTTGTGGGATCGCTGACTGGCGCTTAGAAAATCAGACCGGAGAGTGTGATGCGATTTCTGAAGGCCTTGCTGAAGATAAGTCATTACTCAGATTTGCTGATACTTTCTGCACCGCTTCATTTTTGCATTTCCTTTCCAATCTGAGTGTTTTCCCATGGTAAGTTAGAGTGTTTGCTTCAGATGGTTACTCCAGCTCTTAGGTCCCACTGTCCTCAGCTTCCATGATGGACACCTCTGATTGAAGAGGTGAGTGAGTTATTTGAGAACTATTAACTGTCAGTGTCCAAGGAGAGTCTTTTCCCTCATAAAGAATCCATCATTTTCATGCTATCACCAGTGCACCTTCTGGTCTCACCAGAGATTTTTCCATTGAGATAATCCCTGCACAGCTATCTACTGTCACCCTTGCAAGCCCACATGAAAGCACAATCAGCCATGCCATCAGCATGAAGATATCTTCAATAGCACAATACAGTAAAGCAACAAAAAATGTGATCTGGTGTGATGCATACAACCCATAGAATGTGTGCAAAGCACCTTATTTTTTTAGTTTTATTTTTAAAGTTATTTTCTTCCAGACTTGTTTTTCTCAAATATTTGACTTATTTAGGTACTTTGTATTGTGGGATGCTGCTAATCAAAGTAATTGCTTTATTCCTGAGGGGACTGCAGCATGTTGTAAAATGGGATGTAACAATCCTTTAATACAATATAAAAGGGTTTCCAGGTAGATACATTCTCTGTTGCTGCCTGTAATGTTTGTGGGTTTTGGTTCTGCAAGTTATTACTGCTTCTGCCCTTCCTGCTTGTGTAACTACAGAGAAATGAGTGTTAAAACAGGACCATTGAGCTTGTCAATTGTGTTCTTCTTGGTGACTCCAGCTTATGAAAAATAGAAACAGCATTTAACCCTCAAATCACTAATTTGAGGACAGAAAGGACCTCTAAGCAGTGTGGGAAGGTGGAATAGGGAGGAAATGCAGGAACTTCAAAAGAAGAGGAAATCCACGGGGATTTAGCTCCACTAGATCCAAAATCAAGAGGAATAAACTCTGCTCAGAGTTAAGTGCCAAGCACTACACTGTAAGAATGGATCTTTGATTCCTACAAGGCAGAGAATTACTGTTTAAGCTGCAGAAATAAGTCTGAGAATTTGGAGTGTGCTGGGAAGTGAATTTGATCTGTCTGTTGCAGTTGCAAGGAAAGACAAAGCCCAGCTCCAGGGCTCTGAGATGCAGAAGTTGATCTGTAGGGGAGATCAGAAGGAATTATTAACTGTGTGGTCATCATGACCTGAAGGGTTAACTGGCCTACAGGAATAAGAAGATTTTGACTATGGAGGGTTTCAGAGATTCTGTAATACAGAAGTGGTCCCAGGGGAAGGCCAGTAAAGCAACAGGCAGAGTCTCACATCAATGAAGAGCCTTGTCACAAAGCTGGTAGTTAGCTAATGAGGGTCCCTAATGAGGGTCGAAGAGTTTGTCTAAAAGATCTTGTGGAAAGTTTGTGTGGGGAGCTCAACCTGTGTAGGAAAACCACAAGCAGTGCAGGAGATAACCAGAGGACAAAGCTCCAGTTTGGGTAAGAAGTAAATCCTTTCTATTGCACAGAGACATTAGAGATGTACAACACACCTCAGCAGCCAAGAGGTGCTGTTAATTTCTATTTTTCATCTGAAAGAACCAGTAGATGATGATGATGATGATAATTTCTCACATCTCAGACCACTGTTTCCTGTTCTTGCAGTTGGAGCAGCCAATGGCAGTTGTTGAACCTTATTTTCTCAGGATGTTTTCCCCTTTTTCCACCTTTCCCACTTCTTTCACCTTTTCAGACGATAAGTTCTTTGGTTTTCTACTTCTTGATGGTATCTCAGGATGGCTGGGTTTCTGGACACCCAGCTGCCCTTCAAAGATGCTGACTGCTCTTCTCAAGGATGCTCCTGGCTCCCAGGCTCACAGTCCAGCAGGCATCTCCTCTTTCAGCACACGTATTCTGCTCAGTATTTCTCTCCTTGCAACCAGGTTGCACTTTAGGGCTGCTCACATCAAGAGCCCTCTGAAAATATTCTGAGTAGCTTTGAGTACCAAGCCTCAAAAGAACTATGCCAGGGGATGAATGAGCAGAGATCTGGAGTAAGTTATCTAGAGGGGAGTGGCAAAAAACCACAAGTGTTTTATCTAGACAAGAAAGCAGTGAAGTAAATGAAATAAGGGAAGGGGACAGGGATCCTCTAGAGTGATCTTCCATACTTCATTATGTTTGTCAATACAGGAGATATATATTAGGTATCATTTTGATAAACCAGCTTATTTTGTGGGGAAGAGAGTATTTTAATTGTCTGGGGTACAGTACTGGCAGTGTTGAAATCTCTGTTCATTGCCCCAGTTTCTGTGCCTTTACGTGCCTTCACATGGTAATCCAGTCAATTTGCTGAGACTGCTGACAAATACATCCTTTGACTTGTGTTGGAATAATTTATGAACATCTTTGCCCTAGAGTTGGAGTAGATACTTTCTGTGGATGTCATGTAGGATCCTGCACAGCCAGGAACCACCAGTTTTGGTAGCTGACTTGACCTGGCTACCAAAGCCAGGAATTGAGCCCGTGGTCTCAAGAGGAAAAGTGTAGTCACTTTCAGCTGCTGCTGTGTAACCCAAAACATTGGGCACCACAGGAGGTGTGCAGCATGGAGGCTTTGTGCACTGCATCAGTCTTTGCTGTCTTTGCCTTAAACTCATGGATAGGATAGGATAGGATAGGATAGGATAGGATAGGATAGGATAGGATAAGGTAGGATAAAGTCCCTGAACTTACACTTTTCTCTCCTTATTAGGATCTCCTCAGAGGTGATTTAATGTTGTTCTCCAGTTCTTTCAGGTCTCTTGCAAAGTCTGCTGAGGTCAGAGAGAGCGCTTTGGCAGACTCAGCAGGTTTGGGATCTTTCCTAAAGTGATTCCCTGTGTGAATCAAATGCAGCTAATTTGGCTCATCAATAATGTTTTATTCTTGTGAGTTAGAGCCAGTTTCTCAATAGCAGCACTGGGAGATCAGTGCATGGCCTAGCTGTGCTGACTGGTGGTGTGATTCTATGCAAAAAAATGTGACCTCCATGCCTGTTTCTCTGCTGTGTTCAGTTTCTCTCACTTGCTCATTTTCCAGGGTGTGCCAAATCCCTGGGTATTTGTGCTTCCTCTTGCTGTTGCAGTACCCTGTGGTGGGAGGCAAATGGAAAAATTGTGATCTGTTGATGATAATGGTGTGTGCCATAACCGGGGCACACACCTCTCTGGGGGTTGCAGTGAACATACTCAGCACTTCCATCCATGCTTGAATACACCTTTCTCCCACCCTGGCCTCTCCATCCCTAATATTTCATCCACTGACTTTTAGCTTGAGCCTTGTTAAGCTTTTAATTGATGCACTGCCTGCCAGACTTTTGCTCTCATGCCAGAAACCCAGCAAAACTGAGGAATATTGTGCCAATATCCAAACATCTCATGTACTCACATTGTCTCCATGCTTCAGTGCTGAGCTGGGTGGCTCTGGGTTCACCTACCTCACCCCACCTCCCAGTGCTCTCCCAAGGTATCAGCTGTGAGGGTACAGGAGGAGCTGCGTCATTGCTGTATGCTCCTAAGTCATGTTTTTCTTGAAGAGGAAGAACATCTCCAGTGCTCTTTTGCCAGCTGAAAAATATTTTGAGTCTGGTAAATGTGTTCTTTTCTTTGCTGTGTCAGCCAGAGCATTTCCTGATCACTGCCTGGCTGCACATCTTTAATAGTGTGTATAAAAGATAGGATCTAGCTCAAATAGGAGTTTGTGCCTTGGTGCTGGTTGGCATTAGATTATTGTAGTGGTGTTTTCTGGCCTTGAAAAAAAAAACAACCCTGTAAGTATAGGAATTAGTTTTTTCTTGAAATTTTCTGGAGTGTCTTTTGCAGTATTATATGCTGTTATATGCTGTCTGGGAGGGTGTGGGGCTGCTTGTGCCAGCAGGGAAGAGGGTTCAGGTCATACATGGGCAGGAGGAGACTTCTGCACCAGCACTCTGACATGGCAGCAGCAGAGTCCCCAGACTGAATGACAGATACTGTCCATGCTAAAGACAATCTGAACCCTTGCAGCAGAGGACATGCTTTGGTGTCAGAAAAGGAAAAAACAGCAGAGAAGGAGAGGGAGTTGGTTGTGGAAAGGGTTATGGTACATTCTGCTCACAATAAGGTCCTGCACAGAAGGTGGCAGTGAGGGACAGTTCTCCCATCCAGAAGCCCCACTGTGTGTGACAGTAACATAAAACCCCACTCTCCCATGAGCACAGCCGTGTGTCTGCTTCGTTCCCAAGGTTAGGCTCTGGCACTTCTGTTAAATAGCAGTCAGCTGGAAAGATCTCCTAACTGGTTTTATGCAAATGGGAGCAGATATGTCATGCATGTGTGTTTGCACACTGGCACTGTCCCCTATCAAACAATAGATATTGTTTTGTCATGTAAATAGTGCCCAACTGACTGGGCTTTCTGGGAGTTGAGCTTGCTTATATTGAGTG